ATTTTCTCTTTCCCTCCCCTTTTCTCTCTATTTCGTTTTTCCATCAATTAATAATCGTCTAGTGCTTCTCTGTTTTCCTTTTTTGTTCATTGCCTAGAGGGGTTTTTCTTATAATTCAGTTGTTAAATGTTATTTGGAGTACCTACAACTTTTTCTGTGATATTTTAAACAACATGTATGGATATACTGAGTGATTGGTGTCATTTATTCGCTTTCTATAAATATTTATTTATTTCGAATGGCAGACGTTTTGATAGTTATCATTAGCCCTTTAGCTGACTTCGGGCTTCACAGGGGGAAGGAACATCAAAGTAACAGAAAGTCGAGTGGTGGGGAACAGAAGAGTGATTTACAGGTGTAAAGAGACAGACATGAAGGCAGAGAAAAGGTAGGATGAGTACTGCGCAGAAGTCAATCGCCAGTTAATAGACTGTTTTGCCGTATGATTATACGTTGCCCAGGGTGCACCACATGGAGGTAAGTCTATCACGCACCCCCTTTCTATAAATATTTTAACAATAATATTTGTGGGATTGTGTCTCTCAGGAATTCGAGTTGCCATCGACTTTACATGCGACTTTCAGAGAAGAAGCTTTGTCAAAGGGTAAGTATTGTTTACTTTGAATGAAATTAGTTGGGTTTAAAATTAATTGCAGCACTTTGCCGAGGTCAAAGATTATCCTTAAACTCTGCAGCAGACCTCTCAACTTTCATTAGGTATGCAGCTCTTTTCATCACTAAATTTACCTCTCCTCCTCGATCAGTAAATGACGACGTTCGAATGCGGAAATTTTCGTCAAACTAACATGCCAACCCATTTTTGCAACTTTGCAAAGCTTGTCTTCAGTGCATTAAACAAGGATGTGGAAAGCAAAGGCCCTATCTACTCCCGAGCCAGGAAGCGAACTAGACCAGTTTCCTCTAACGGGACTTGAGTGTACGAGTATTGGACACAAATCGAGGGAAATGATTAGATATTTAGCTCAAACAATTACTGCATTATGCATATCCATAAACGCATTCATGATCGAATTAAGTGTCTATGAAGTACACGGTGAATTAATCTAATGGGATTCAATCATACAACAGGTAATGTTCGACGTAGTTCCGTACTAGAGGCAGTCACTTTTGACTTCGACTTATTTCTCACCATTGTATGACGTCCTAACATTAACTCTGTGGCCGCAATTGCATACTAGAATTGCCAGCCAGAGCCAGAGGATGTGTGATTTGAAGCAAGAATCCCGCCAATGGCACGAGAGTTGCATGGAACATCTTCTCCCTATTACTTTATTTCGTCAAGAACCACTTTCCCTTTCATTTGAGCACCTTTGCTCTAGTAGAATTTATCGACACACAAGTAGATTTTTGTCGTGTGAAACCGAGAGGTCTACCTTCTGAGAAACTCGATTTCTGTCAGTCCTTCCATTAATCAAACTCAAATAGGAGGGGGGAGGGAAGGGTGGGTAGTCCACATGCATTGTTGGTTTTACTAACTAACACCTAAACCATTTCGACATGACTTAGCCCCCATTTCCTCTGCCCAGTCTACTTTTCATATTTGTATAGTTCACCGAATTTTCCAGAATATTGCCTAATTTGAACGACCCATTACTCGGTGGTTTCGAGCTTTATAACTAAGACGTCTTCCGATCCGCTATCACCGATGTGTGTTAAGAATACACAGAATAAGGGTATTACAATCGAAATCTTAAAAAGCGATTCCAGCGACTAAATAGGATATGGCACTATAAAAATAATACAGAAACACTCGAAGTTGACAATACAAATAGGCAACATCTTCTATCACAATTTCATTGGATCATATACACTACTCTAGACACAAGGAATCAAGTCAGGTATCGCACATCTCGGCCAAAGAGTATGCCACCACAAATAATAGTAAATAGGATTTATGCAAACTGTACTTTTTATTAGTCGTATAAAATCAAAATCACACATCACTCTGAAAGACTTTCGATGAATCATACTGAGGCATCACTTTTAGCGGATTCCGAAGGGTCTTCATTACTCGATTTCACATCACCATTTTCAACGCTTTCACAGACGTCTTCTTCGGAGTCCTGTTTTGTTTTCCTTCTTCGAACAACAATACACCTCACAACAAACCATATCAATAGAAACAGGGGTGTTGTCAGAGAAATTATAATGGGCATAACAGCACCAAGATCTCCTTGCGGTTGAGGGATAGCATAAATGAGAATAAGGATAGCGATACCAACATTCTGAACGCCAGTTTCAACTGATATTGCTGTAACAACAGGCCAAGGACGTCGACAAATTAGAGCAGCCAAAAGGCCAACCAAGTAACCAAATGTGGGCAAAGCCCCTCCTACAGCAATGAGGAGAGGATACCGACCCATCAGGCGGAAAATGGAAAGATTCGTTAGGGTTCCAAAGAGAATAACATAAATGAGAAAGATAAAGGAGGTTGGCCGGACACCTCGCTTCAGTTTATCAGCCCAATTGGGACGGAAATGACGGATTAGAAGTCCTGCAATTATTGGAAAGAAGAGATAGAGCAGAGTCACCACAATCGGACCATAAGGCACAGCGCTGGTATCAATTGCCGTGAAGAATCGCGTGAATATAAATAAGAGAAGAGGCAGCATGCCTAAAATAAGAATTAGGAGGAGTTAGGGGGTAGGCACAAATGCAAGCCCGTATATTAATGAATCCATAATATTCGTGTCCAATGTATTGTTTCCTATGGAACAGATTAGAGTTGCAGCATATTGAATGAAGAATATGCAACCCAGAAATACTAAACACACATTGAAAAGCAAAGAAATGAAGTACACCATCCAAGACAACTAAAGACAACTCAATGGAAATGGTAGTTGGGGTTATTGGAGAAACTGCGAAGTAGACAGATGCAATAATGCCATACCTTGTTTCTTCACTACTAATCAACCGGTGTGCAACTGACTTTGCACGAGTAGAAGTATTGGTGCCACAAACCATCCAGTCATTCACATTTGTTCCATTACATGGGTGAAGTGTGAAGAAGAAGAATAAGATGATTGCGAAATGTGGAAGTTGAATATCTCAAGTTACAAAGTTTCGTGGAAAAATAACCCAAACGTAACTAAATCCATGAAGGAACCAGGGCATCAGGAATCAACTCCACTGATCTCATTTGAAAGCAACTTAGTTGCAAAGTCAGAGGTTAGTGTTTCGAAATGACCAAAGACACTGGCTAAATGCAGCAGATGGGTTTCTCACCAAGTAGCTCCAACATAATGCCACTTCACCTCCCTCTACCTCTCCCCATAACTACGCCTGGTGTTCACACCCACCACTACATCTTCTCTGTCAACCCGAATGGGTTTCAGTGTTTCAGTCAGAGAAACACTTGGACAATTCCAATCTTTTCCACTCATAAAATTGTGTCGGTGTGTGGAGATTTCGAGAGTTTGATAAGAGGGCATTTGGTGCTCATCTACAGACTTTCTCGTTGTAGGTTAGGGGATGGAGAATTCATTCGGAATCAATGCAAGTAAGAAGGCGCCCTTAGACCCACTCATGCCACCTCTCATCCAATAATAAGTATGGGCCTTCAAAGCAGTCACAGTGGTGCTGTGCCCAAACACACAGGAGCCTAATGTGCACTTTTGTGGACATGAAGATTGAATATTGACTTTCCTGTTCTGGGTCAAACAGGAGTGTAAGAGGACATCGGGAGGGAGGCTGTAAGGCGAAACCGTGAAGTGAACAGACAGTGGAGTTATCGCAAACAAGCCTACAAACTACTATCAATTTGCCCAAAATTGGCAAATATGATATGGTTTTATGATGTTTGTGCTACTTAAATGTATGAATTAATGGAATCTATGGAATCAATATAAAATATGAATGTATATAGAATTAAACAAAGCGGATAATCATCGTTCAGTTCAATATCAGTGAAAAATAAGAGATTCTGCTATATTCATGTTATGTCAAGAGTAGACAACGCTACTATGCTCGGTATTTAGAAAAAGAAATTTTATTAAAAAGTATTTGCAAAACCAGATAACATAATTAGCTGGCAGATCCCAGTTTAAGCAAATTGAGTCAGTAAATGTTTCTTACAAAATGGTATCACCGATAGGATTCATTAATGTAGCGCACATATTTCAATTACGTCATTTCGACTTACCAAGAGCGGCAACTGAACTGAAGAGCGTCATGGTGACACTGAGATTGATATCTCCTCCAAGGAGCCGTGTCCAAACATTGGAGGCCCCGCCCCCTGGACAGCATCCGCTGATGAAGAGACCGAAGCCGAAGGCCGGATTAATGGGAGTCAATTTGGCTAGTGCTATAGACATCTAAATCATAAAAAAACAACAAAAATTAAAAAGGAACAGAACTTGGTAGGGTATCTTCCGCTTTTTCTGTAAACCTAACCTTGTTGGTCAAATTTGTGCCAAGAAAAAATTTGGTCTCAACTATTTCTTACTCATGCTATCCGAAATTCATACTTACAAGTATCGATCTTGTGCACGGGAATGATCACACGCAACAAAGAGAAAATACCTCTAAATGGGTTTAATTAACCAAGGTAATATTAGGATAGAGCGCGGTCAAAAAGGCTAAGAGAAATGGCTAATAGATAGCAAGACCTGCAAAATCGTAGAAACAGGTGTATCATTAGAAACCTGGTGACTGGACGAATAAAGGATGCACGTAAACGAAATGCAAAATAACTTACAGCAGGCATGATGACAAACTGACAGAAGAATCCCAAGAGAGGACCGATTGGTCGCCTGAGATATGATTTAATTATGTCAATTTCAACTTCACAGCCCATAAAGAATGTTGCTAATATGAGGAGAAAAATGAGACCGACTCTAAAGAGAACATCAGTTATTCCGCCTTTTCGAAGAACGAGCATCCGCAAACCCACAGCCACTTTTTCATCTTTTCCAACGATAGCGTGCGTGACAATGTAAGAGTCACCTATTTGATCAATAGTCAGAGGGAGTACTATATTCATATGATCAGTATCAGTAGACGCAGGAAGAGTGAGCGAATAAGGAGAGGAAAACTCAACAGAAACAGGGTAGTCAGATATGAAATTGAGAATAACACTCGAAGATGACGTATATGAAAGACTACAATTCAGATTGTAAGAGCCTGATCGTTCAAACACCTGGAGGTACTGCGCATCACATTGAAGCGAAATTGATAGCTTTGCGTCCTCATCACTATAGGTAGAAATAACATGAGAGCCATTTTTTGTAATGCGCTTGTCTAGAATTTTTCTAACATTAAGGTAATTGCTGTCAGTCGGTAAGCCACCAATTGTCTCACCAGAAAAGGCACAACCATTTAAAGAAAACGCGATCAAAGTAAAAAGCAAGGTTGACAACTTCATGTACTAGGCTAGGTAATAAATATTTTAATCAGCAATAAAGTGAGAACGTTCTTCCAATTTATCTGTGCATGAAATCTTGCCGGCAAATCAGATGAGTCGGAGGCGTGAGCCAAACAAATTCTCCCCACTCGACCTTGAATTCCATATAAATTGGTATAATAGAACGTTTAAATGCACGACATCATAAATAATAATACCGATTAATCTTTGGTTCACGAAATGAAGGATTCAAAATTTTGTTAGTTAATGACCTATTTTAAATTCTTCAGTTCAATTTGATAACAATTTTTGATAGAACTGATTGGCATCTAAAATATTTTTCCTTATCTTTCTTTACGAAACAATATCTCAGGTTGGCACTTCTCTTTCGCTAAGTGTCGTTCCACCCAATGTACCTCATGTTTATAAGCCCATCATTCAAGCGAAAATACTAATAAACCAACACAATTTATTTCATTTCTATAAAAGGAGTGTCAAATTTTAATGAAAGACTTGAATTTGAGCGACTGAAATTCTCAATGAGCGTATCAAAACCGCGAACAACTCCTGAAGGATCATCTGCCTCAGGTGCAGGCCTCCAGTGAGCAAAATCCACTAATTTAGCAATCAAATTATTCCGATTTTCATCATATATAAGCAGGAGAGAGGAAGAATATAATGCCATAGGTAGCTTCGGTTTATCCACGAAAATTGATCGCACTTTACTTATCAATGGAAGAAAACTTTTGGCCAAATCAAAGTCCCCTTGAAGAAATGGGAGCAAACCTAAAATATACAAAAAAGAAATATAAACGCGTTTAAGCTATCTACAAAACATTACCTCTTTCAAATATATGCTCAGCTGGCACTGTTCGACCATAGTAACGTGGTACAGTCAGATATCGATTTGCCTTTTTATCATAGACCTTAATTGACGAAATTCCAATTATTGAATATCACAAATTTTTTGAGCAAACATGAATAAAATTACCTTCATTCCAGTCAGAAGAAAACCGACGGTGCCTCTATCCGGATATTTGGACATTTCGTGCTGAATTTTCTTATCTCCAGCGTCCGGTGGACAAGCAAACTGACCCACCTTCAGGTCACAGATGGAAGGGTTTGCCAAATCCGCAGTTAGATCCTCCAACGCAATGTATAGTACTGAAGTGGCAAAAAACAGCCTTAATCACACATTCTACTCATAAGGTATAAGTAGATAAGTAAAATTCAGACCTCCGCTCGAAGGAACCTTGAAGATTCCTCGAAAAGTAGGGATCACTTCACGTAGCTGCGCAATTTCTGGAGGGGCGGTATCCGCAAACACTGACAGATAGAAATTCGCCTCCCGAATACTGCGCTCATCGCGAGGCACCATTTTATAGAAAATCCGTTCGACTGGATCTCTAAGCACTAATAAATAGAGTTAGCACTGAGTATTTCTGGTGTGCATAACCTACTTTCGAATTCAACAGAAGTCGCCTTACTCCCATGACCCCCTACTTGATGTGGAAATGGTAACAGATTATCCGGTAAATTAGGAATGCTCTCAAGATCGAATAAAGGCTCAACTGCAGCCATGGCCTTTGCAAGGGTACAAGTGCGTTACCTTCAGTCAGATTAGCAAGTGAAATTTTAAGAGTTAGAGTCACTCAAAAGAAGTTAAGAAAAAGAAGTGACAATTATAAAAAGAAAACTTTTTATTCACATCAAAAATTGTCTATATACACATGTAAGGAATTAATTCGTAGTTTCCCATTCACTCGCTTTCAGGAGAATCTTTAATCTGACCGAATTGGGTCTGAAACTTAGTAACGAATTCGGACGGATTTGTAACAGTAATGAAAGCTCGAGTGATTTTCGTGGTTGGATTAGCATAATTCTGTGGAACTACCGTCGATCCTGATGCGAGAATTATGAGGAGGGAGTGAGGGCGAAGCTGCATGTATACTGTTGAGGCGAACTTTGTAAACTTTCTATTCTCCTTCTAAAAGGAAACAAGGAATGAGAAGGGTAAGGTTAAGTTGATTTCTGTTTATTACAAAGACCAGCTGCACTGCATGGTCTCCCAAAAACTATTAGGATAAAAGTGTCATCTTCTATTCATAAAAAATTCACTACAAAGAAAATATTACTGTTTATGTTGGTTAAGAAAAAGAACGATTCAAAGTACACTAGGAGTAATTTGATATTTCTAGGACAAATTTTTCTTTAACGAAATTTCAATTTCACTAGGTCTCGTTACAACGATTTGCACTTGACAAATGGGGCAGTGAGCCGACATCAGATGGAGACATTATGAACTCTTACACACTGAAAACAAAAGGATTCTAATGCTTATATCCTGCCGACCCTAAATCAATAATGCATTTAACCCCTCACCATTAGATTAGTATTTATTAGACGATTAAATTAGTTTGAGATTCAGTCTATTTTAAACTTGAATCTAGAAGCCCCCCAACTATCAAATCTAAGACTCAAAATAGCCATCAATAATAATCCACTATCCTATGATAAGAACTCTACCAAATAAAGCGTTATTAGAGAAACTTACATTCCAATCCCACTTGACTGGCTTTCCTATGCGAGTCATGACGAATTTTAGGCTTTGGGCTTGATTGGCAATCCATCGAATAGCTTTTTTACCCGGTCTTTTGAACATTGGAGGCCCGACTAGCTCAGGTTCCGTCTTACTCACATCCTCCTCATTCTCCACAACTTCACCCTCTTCAAGATCCATCGATTCCTCTTTACCGTTTTCGACATCGTCATTCAATTTATCCATCTGTATACAATAAGGTACCTTGAGGCCAGCCAACAAGCAATCGGCTAGGTGGAAAGGCGCGACCTCTGTGTACTTTCGACAAAGAAAGTTCAAGTAGGCACGCAAGGATTCTGGTACCGAGCGAGCACCTGAGGCATTAAGTTCAGCCAAATTGGCGATATTAGGCTTGAATTGTGGTGACGCCTAAAACAGATGAACATGCAAGAGAAGTAGATCATTGTGCAAAGTGAATAGAGAACAAGAACAAACTTAAGTGGTTAAACGAAAGTGTTCATTCAAGAATTCACACGTTATCACTTGAAAGTATCCACTATCCGATTGGTTAGTTGGTCGGTTGAAAGGCTAACATGGAGGAGTGAGTTGGGTTCTTACAGATTCTAAACTTGTTAACTAATAGAGCAGATTATTACAAAGCATAATCACATCAGCGGCGAGTTAAGTCCCTATCCTGAGCATTTATGGGAATGCTAATCATTCATCCCCCAAAAAAACTAGTTTACTACTCAGAGAAAGGAAAAAATATTTTACGATATTTTACCTCGAGAAAACAACAGTGCAATGCTAGTTAGAATTAAAAAATAGAAACAAGGAAACAGGAGCCTCGCAACACTTGAACTTTGCTTTCAGGATGCATTTGCTCAACTTGTAAATTGGCCACAACGCCAAATACAAGAGTTACATTTAGTAAATCAAATATAAACCCGTTTCTTATTTGATTTACTTACTTCAAGAGGAGTTAGTAGTAACGACTGCAAATTAATTAAACAAATTTGACATTAAAATAGAGATTCTATTTTAAGCTGCATTCCATCTTGTCGATTAACCGTACAACAATATTTCTAGCAAATAATAAAGCTACTAACCTCAACTAGTTTGATTGAACTGAGTTGGCTTGATGAATAGAAATAGACCAATCACTAGCTTAACTCTACATCTCCATCTCTCCCTTATGAAGATAATTAGGAGCTAAGGTTTGCTTACCGTATTGTTACCATTGGTAGCCGCAGGTGAGCTGAAATTATTCTGTGGGAAAACCCAAGAAGAAGTGGAGTCACCGAAATCAACGGCTGAAAGGTGGAAAAGAATTAGCAAAAGAAAGAACTGTGCATAACTACGCGTAGTGAGTTAATTTATTGTTTACATTGACTGAGCTTCAATCGGACTAAATCCAAAGCGGCTTTGGCATCTTCTGAAGAGGAGTGACCACCTTTTCCGCATTGGATAGATTTTCTAGAAGGCGGAAGAACAATGAAATCAATAACAGATTATGGTGTCAAGTAAAATCAAGTAGATGTGTCACTAACCCGAGAAACACCTGTGCTAAAAAACGTAGTTTCGGCTTTGCCCTTCTGTTATTGGAAAAATTGAAAAGGACACTGGTGTCCATGAGATATGGATGAAATATCTTAAAGGGAAAAAATTGAAAATAGAAAGTTGATGCGGAAGTATACACCCAATAAATGAAAAATGGTTTGACGAAGTAGCAAAACTGCCAAATGAAAAATACAATAGTAAAATATAATTTACAAGTAGTACAAAAGCATAAATAGTTGGTTTCATTAGAAATATATGAAAGTTAAGGACATGTTAGAGTAAAGTTAACACACTCTAATTTCTAATTATTGTTGAATTTGTTGTCAAATAATAATTTAATAACCACATAAAAGCATTATACTCGCACTAAATGTCAATTTGACCCTCAAATCTCTAGCTAAATGACATCAAATCGAATCTCTATAGCTTTAATGCAAATGAGCGTAAGGAACCATTTGCCGAAATGAGTTCGGACACAATTGTCATAATACATTGGTTCACAAGAATAGGGTCCAACTTTATTAATAACCAAATAAAAATTTCTTATCTTTACCTCTACCACACCCTAAAGTGGTGTTTAACCCTCTTCTTAAGTGTCCCTATGACCTTAAAAGTCATTCACTTTACTGTCAAATGCCAGGTGTTTGTGAAGGGGGAGGGGTAATATGAAAAAGGTCTCAAATATAAAAGGTTATATAAAGTAATACAATATTTTTCGATTCCGCTTTTAACCTAGTAAAAGTATAAGCGATTTATCAATATGCCTTTCCCAGCATTTACTATTATTGATAGTCATTGAGCTAAAAATAAGAAATTGCTATAAAGAACTTAAAAACGTCGAGGAAAGCAAAATAAACTCACCTTAAGAGCCTTCAAGTCATTCTCAATAGAATGTCCAACAAGGATTGCATCAGGAGGAAGTAATTTGCTCATTTCCTCTTGTATATCTGGCACTCGAGTTTCAATTCCAGCAAGCATTTCTCGAGTTATACCGCTAAACCTAGAAAGCGAAAAGAGCAGTTGATTAAATTTATCAAAGGAAAAGTAAAAGAGATTAAAGCCAGCTAACCTAGTTACATAGTCTTCAACCGGATGGTCGGGTTTGACAAGTCTGTCCATAATAACACAACCCATCTCATCCACTAAAGTTACCCTAGCTAATTCACTTCCAACTTTAGTACACACCATTTCGCAATCGAGGCCAAACATGGGACTCTGAGCTGTCACGGGTTCATAAATCTTTTTGAGGGGAACAAAAGAACTCCAAGATGGTTTCCATGAGGAACCGGCTAACTTGCGCGGAAGAGGGACTTGCTCACTAATCATTTGATCAATACTTAGGAGAAGGAGAGTGCGGTCGAAAATATCTTCGCTAAAAGCATCAGGAAGTGGAAAATGTTTCTCGTGTTTAGGCTCTTTCAATTCCAGAGCTGCCTCCTTGTAGTGTTTATTCTGGATCAAATTTCCAAGGGAAACTGCATTGGGATCCACACCCCGCCTTTTGACAACCGGAGTCGTAACGGCTTTTCCAGAAACTGTGGAAAGATTAGAGTACAATCAAGTTCAAAGACATGAGGAAATTAGACCGAAAAAAAACGTACGAGCCATTTCTCGCGCATGAGGAGTAAGGTAAGACCCAGGGACGAAAAGTAGGTCATGCTCCCAGGAAGAATGATAATTTGAGGGTGAAAAGAATCTAGCATTCTAAAACAAGAATTATTTAATGTGGGAAAACTTACAATTGGAAACATTTCAGTGAAGAGAGAGGAATCTGAAATTTGACCAGGATTTCCATTGTACTCAATCACCACAACTGATTTCAATAGAAGCGGCTTTTTCAAGATAATCCAGCTTAAGTAATAAGTAGTGATAAGGATATGTATGTGACTTACTTTGGCAAAGACTTATAATGCTGAGGTAAAAAGCACAGGCCAAGAAATTTTTGTAGTTCCACTGGATTAAGAATTTTATTGCTTTTATGACTTGGGCTTAAATATACAATTGGCCTCTGAAATTTTTATAAAAAATAATATATATATACCTTATTCTTTGAGCGTGCTTCCTGAAATCCATCACGATCATCACTAGACATGACCATGTCTATATCAAATGTACCGAATTACGTACGACCTTTGCGGTTAAGTTAAACGTTTAATTCACGTTTTGTTATTACACGTAAATAATATATATATTTTATCAATTTTAGCTTTAAACTCAATATTATTTTTAATTCATTTTTTAATTAGCTCTTAATGCTTAATAAAAATACTAATATGACTAGGTTTCAGTACCCTTTATAGACCTAGAACTCAGTACGGATTTGAAGAACTAATTTGATTACCACATGTAAAATATTATTTAATGATCACTGCATCGTAATCAGTTCAGGACATATTTAACTAGACGAATTTGTAATATAAATAAATTTCAATTTTTCAGTATAAATTAAAATTTTTAACATTTTTCCATAACAAAATCGCTAAATCTTTAAACTCGAATCTTAGGTATTCACGTTTTGGTATAAATATATATTTTGTTTCAAATATGCTAAGATGATATTTACATATATCTGGTTAGCCATTCGTAACATGAGTGCTCTTCTAATGATATTGAAATTGGCGCATCTAAACTGCGGTGTCACTGTTCAATTTTCAGAAGAATTGCCACTGTTTTAGCAATGTAATGAGTGAACGGTCATGTAGTATTAGAAAGTACTAGATTTTCATTAGCATGATGTGGTAATGATGACATTACTTCAGGATTTGAAATCCAGCCATGTTAAGGGTACGTTTTTAAAACATGGAATTTTTTAAATACAAAATCAACATAATAATTTGATAGAAAATATTCGTTAAAATTTTAATATTTGATATGAGTCTCACTAGGTCTTAGTGGTTTCCTCTAGACTCATTTTAACGAAACGGAGTAATCCTACATTTGATCTCATCAGCCAATCGGATTACTCGTACATTATAATCAACCAATTATACTCTACTTTAACTGAGTACCATTAAAAATTAACCAATCAGGTGTTGATTTTGCGCGGATCCTATTGAGAAGGCTATATAAGCAATAAATGATACAGGAACATCATGGAATTTCTCTCTTCTTTCGTTATTTACGACAGATGCTTGTCCTTTATTTTATTGTCACACCTCTCTACAATAAACTTCCTTACAGTCCCGTGCTGTTTTAATATTCGAATTCTCTGTTATTAAGACAACCCATATTCATTTACACTTAAGCCTTATTGAATTAATAAGCAACCTGGGTAATTCCATCTTTATCTATCTGAGCCCATTGGGATAGCACTAGGCCAATTATGTTGCCCGGATACGAAATTCACCAATGCAATAAATCTTTCGGATTCATGGTCATCAATAAGCTCAATTGGAAACGGAGAGCCACAAAAAACAGCTGAGATATACGAATGTATCAAAACTCCAACAGTTGCTGAGAAAAATTAAAACTGTGATCCTACAATGGATTCCTGGACACTGTGGCATTAAAGACAATGAGCGCGCTGACACACTTGCTAAGAAGGGGACAACAATTTTGGAAAAGTATTGACCGCCCGATGTCTTCCATACAATGAAGACCTTAATCAGGAGAGAATTCAAGACCTCAAGTTGCAACGAACTTAAAGCTCGAACAAAGGAGAAACAGTGGACAGTGGCACTCTCCGACATAGTCGACTGGCCAAGAATCGAAGCCGTTGCTGAGTTTAGACTACGTACCGGACACGATTTCCTGGCAAATCACCTTTACAGATTAGGAGTATACACCCAACCAACATGTTCACTAAGTGACCTACGTATACACTCAACCCACATGCCCTCTATGTAACCTACATTTATGGAGAAGACCCACCTGATTCGGTGTCCAGCCCTAAAGATAGCGACGGAAAGCCAGAGATACTGGGAAGCAAGAGGACAGCTAATGAACTGCTATTAATTAACTGTTATATATGTACACCTCCCCCTCCCGTGGCCCGACCCGGAGTCAAATAAGGGGCTAATGATAAATAACATTAAGCCTGTCATTTGAAATTTTATTAATTTCAAGATCGAAACCCCCCTCCCCCTTGTACTAAGAAGGCATATATGCATAACTGTCCAAATGGTATCGACTTTTTGACCATACTGACAAATTTCGTATGGAATCCAACTCTATGAAGTCACTACTTTTGAAACAATTAAGAGAATAATTTTACACACACTCCAAGCTTTCGCTCTCAGCACGGTCGATATCAAATTCAGTAGAATACGAAAAGTCAACATTTACTTAATGGCGTGGAGATCATTATATTATTAACTTTCCATTGAATAAACTTTTGTGATTTTGATGAACTTTCACAGCCTCTTACCTTTAAGAGTACATAAGTAGAACTAAGTGCCATGATCGAACAACTGGTATTGGATATTAAGCATCCAAGTCGGCGAGTTTACCGGTTTTATTTCGCCCAGAGCGGTTAAACGGAAAATTCCATTTCATGGAACTATCTTTTGGATGGGCGTACTTTCGGAAAACCATGATAATAAAAAAGTTTTTGATTAAGAGGACATTTTAGAGGGTAATTGCATTCTTTATGCGAAAGTGGTCTACGAAAAGCTTCTAGAATTTGAATTACGCTGGTCTTTGAATCTGGATAGCATTTCTTAGTCCCACTCAGAAACTCTTTCCCGTTTCATCCCTCACTGGCATAATTTGGCATTTTACTTTCAGACACGTGGGGTGTGCGATAGACTTATCTCCACGTGGTGCGCCCCGGGCAACGTATATTCATACGGCAAAAAAGTCTATTAACTGGCAGTTGACTTCTCACTTTAAACTACCATGACCCCACTGTATGTCATATTCGACCACTTTCACAGTACTCACCTCACCTTTTTTCTACCTTTGTGTTTGTCCCTTACATCTTTGGAATACTCTTCTGTTCCCCCCCCCCTCTCGAATTTTTTTCAATTTGATGTTCCTTCCCCTCTGTGAAGTCTGAAGTCAACTAAAGGGCTATTGATAACCATCAAGACGCCTGCCATTTGTTATAAACTTTCAGACACGTCCCATGGACGCAGGTATTTCCAAATATTTTTGACAGTTATGACAGTCTATTGTTACTTAGGTCAAATAGTCGATGAAGGAAAAAGCTTCACAGGTTGTCATAAGTCTTCCAACATGAATAAATTATAGAAGAAATTCTACCATTGTCTGCCAATCAGAGCATAGGAAATATAAATACAAAATGCCTAAAGTGACATGACAAAAAAAAAGAGGAGTAAGTTGACAGCAGTGTCTTTTTCTTATGACACCTTATAGTAAATTTAGATAATGTCTGACCACGTTTTGATTGGGGTAAAAAATAATAGAATCACAGACCACAATTGCTCAAACTCTCAGCTGCTGCTCTAACATCAAAATTTAGACAGTAGGTAGGAAAAAATACTAACCATGTGTCATTACAGTGCATTCGCTACGGACCAAACATATATTGGTGGATTGACTGACCTCTCCAAAATTGTCAATATCGCCGATATATGCGCACTTGGCAACGCAAAAAACAAATTTTCAAATTTAAAACCTTGTGAGCAATTTTCTATTGACATAGTAATGCAATTTTTTATAGATTTCAGGTTCGAGACCAACGATGCTGGAAAATAAGCCTGTAGGCCGATAGAAAAATACATAAAATCGAGGTTAAATCCAAATTCAAAACTTTAATAGCCATGCTGACGATCCTAAATAGATTTTGAAAGCTGAAACTCAGTAATAACTAATAAAAACCAAGATGATAGGCTTTACTCGGAATTTCTGAAAGGTTATTGCCGTATAATTTGGCATATTTCATTGTTATGATTTGTCCTTTTTCAGCAGGCAACATCATCTATAGCATGTTGACTGGTTGACTTAATTGAGTAGTTTGTCATTGGGACCCCGTCTTAGCCAGAAGTAGGTTGATGTTTATTCCATTGTGTAATTAACTGGCCGGAAAATAGAAGATAATTTAAGCAGACAGTTGCCTAGAATTGATGAGTGAAATATTGGAGTAATAATGAATGATCATCAAATAACAAGAAGTCGAACTGAGTCGGAAAATTAAATGGAGATTCATTTAAAGCACCGATTCGCCTTTTTTTTATTCCGCTTGCCTTTCCCCATATTTGATTATCATTTCTGTCCTCTTGCTCGATTTTACATTGCCGATTTTGCATGATACTAATTTCAGCTTTTTAAGGAATATAAAACGATATTAACCTATGAAAGGGGGCTTTTGAATCGGCGAAGCAACAACTGGAATGATGCAAATTTCGTGGGATTCACTCATTTATTCATATCAAATGACAGGCGTTTTGATAGTCACCAGTATCCCTTAAGTTGACTTCGGGGTTCATGGAGGGGAGGAACATCAAAGTGAAAAAGGTTGAGAAGGGGAACAGAAAATTGACTCACAAATGTAAAAGAGACAGACAGACACAATGCAGAGAAAGGAAATATGGGTACTGTGGAAGGGTCAAATATGACATACAATAGAGTCATGGTAGTTTGAAGTTAGAAGTTAACTACTGGTTTATAGCCCTTTTACCGTATGAGTATACGTTGCCAGGATGCACCACATGGAGATACGTCCATCACACACCCCGTAATTATAAATATATTTTTTTTTATCAAATGGCAGGCGTTGTGTAAGTTATCATTAGCCCTTTAGTTGACTTCAGGCTTCACAAAGGAGAAGCAACATCAAAGTGAAAAAAGTCGAGAGGGGGAGGAACAGAAGAGCTTCAAAGAAGAAGTTTGAAAAGGTAGGAAAAAGGTGGGGTGAGTACTGTGGAAGTAATCGAGTATGACATACAGTGGGGTGATGTTAGTTTGTAGTCAGAAGCCAACTGCCGGTTAATAGACTTTTTTTGCCGTATGAGTATACGTTGCCCAGGGAGCACCACGAGGAGGTAAGTCTATCGCACACCCCGTAATTATAAATATAATATCAGCGAAAAGTGGGGGATACTGGTTGTATAAGGTTATTCAAGCAAATCTATTAACAATTGATAGTTCCTCGAAACATTCGAAGACACAACTTCAAGTGAAGCTTATTAAACTTTA